CTCTGCCTCTGAACAACCGATCAAGCTGAAACTTTGCAACCAGCATTCTCTCGCCAGTCTACAAGTATGCATTTAAAGACGTTTGGATACATCGAAATTTGTGGTCGCCATCGGCCAATAAGCATTCAGCAGGCCATTTGACAGGCTTAACATTGACCAATCATGACGAAACTTGACTGGTGTCTATATATAGCCACTTTCTAACAACCAGTCGAGTTTCAAAAGATTTGACCACTGGGGGGCGCTATTTCAAAAATTTACGTATTATTACATGTTATTACAATACTATTACAATTTTCGCCTAAAGCCAATTGTACTACATTGGGACAAACATTTTTGCCTATACATGTTTATTAAAAATCTGCATAGTTTTTTTGTAATTGATAAATGTTTGAAAACCATACTTTTCGAACTAGTCTCTGGATTTTGATCCAATTTTGTCAACGTTTGTCTAGAACAATTCTTTGGCATCTCTAGGTAAATAATTATCAAAAACATTTTGACTTTTCTACTCAGGGTCATGTGGATCAATCAATTATTTCCTGCATACGTGGCATTGTTAGTTCGATTAGCTATAACTCACCAGTCATTGGTCAGATCATGTCCAAACTTTGAGGATTTATATATATTGAGATTCTAATAGAGTATGCCAAGTTTGGTCCAGATTGGCCCTTGAGGGTGCTTCAGCACTCAAAAACACTGAAAAATCAATAAAAATGCTATTACAATGTTATTACAAGGTCGACATATAAACAATTGGTGCCATGTGACTCAGTCCACTAAGAGGAACAACTTTCTAATTACATGTTATGTCAAAAATTGCACTGCTTGTCTTTTATTTTGGATTATTCATTCAAAGATTTCACTATACAAAGACTTACTATACAAAGGCTTGAGGCCTGTTTAGGCCTAATATAATAGAAGGCTTAAGGCCTTTTTAGGCCTAATGGGCTAAACCAAAAGCTTGAGGCCTTTTTAGGCCTAAAGGCCTAAACCAGAAGCTTGAGGCCTTTTTAGGCCTAATGGGCTAAACCTGCAGAAGGGCCCGTACTGCTGTTGCGTGCTTGAACCCGCTCATTGCCGCTCGCGGCTATATTTATTATTATTTTTCTGCCCTGAAACGGAATGCACAGCCCAAACCGTAAGTCCTAGAGACACCAAACTTGGTCAATAGGTAGTAGTCCCTCCCGCTACTCAGGCGCAAGGAATTAGCCCAGTTGGCCACAAGGGGGCGCTACAGCGCAGGCCAACGCGTTTGGGTCTATATCTCCTAAACCAGATTTTTGCCAGACAAGCCATATTTTTTTCCTGGTTCGATGGGTCCAAATAAACCTTTTGGCTATTTTGATTGTTTAGCTCCCCCACTTAGATTTTTCGCAATACTGCGAAATATGCGAAACCTACTTTTGCGAACTAGTCCTACAATTTTTACCCAATCCTCATCTATTTGGTGTCAAAAAATTCAGAAGAGTCTCAAGGTCAATAATTATCAAAAACATTTTGAGTTTTCTATACAACATGGCTGCCATATGCAAATGAACCCTTCTGGATAAATTCAAAATAATTCAGAATTAATTGAAAAATCTGTAACTCAAGAATCCTTCAGCCAAAAAATTTCAAACTTGACAGGCCATGTCAGTAGCCTATTCTGAGGTAGCCATTCGATTTTTGTGCGCATATGTAATTAGGGGGCGGAGCAACAAAAACAGGGCATTTTCTCTGCAGTCGTACACCCTATCAAGCTGAAACTTGGCATGCAGCACCATCCTCTCGACATTCTACAAGTGGGCTTTTAAGGACATTTGGATATATCAAAATTTGTGGTCGCCATCGGCCAATAAGCATTCAGCAGGCCTTTTGACAGGCTTAACATTGACCAATCATGACAAAACTTGACTGGTGTCTATATATAGCCAGTTTCTAACAACCAGTCGAGTTTCAAAAGATTTGACCACTGGGGGGCGCTATTTCAAAAATTTACGTATTATTACATGTTATTACAATACTATTACAATTTTCGCCTAAAGCCAATTGTACTACATTGGGACAAACATTTTTGCCTATACATGTTTATTAAAAATCTGCATAGTTTTTTTGTAATTGATAAATGTTTGAAAACCATACTTTTCGAACTAGTCTCTGGATTTTGATCCAATTTTGTCAACGTTTGTCTAGAACAATTCTTTGGCATCTCTAGGTAAATAATTATCAAAAACATTTTGACTTTTCTACTCAGGGTCATGTGGATTAATCACTACATTCCTGCATACGTGGCATTGTTAGCTTGATTAGCTATAACTCATCAGTTATTGGTCAGATCATGTTCAATCGTTGAGGATTTGTAGATATTGAGATTCTAATGGAGTCTGCCAAGTTTCGTCTAGATTGGCCTTTGGGGGTGCTTCAGCACTCAAAAACACTGAAAAATCAATGAAAATGCTATTACAATGTTATTACAAGGTCCACATATAAACTATTGGTGTCATGTGACTCAGTCCATTAAGATGAACAACTTTCTAATTACATGTTATGTCAAAAATTGCACTGCTTGTCTTTTATTTTGGCTTATTCTTTCAAAGATTTCACTATACAAAGACTTACTATACAAAGGCTTGAGGCCTGTTTAAGCCTAATATAATAGAAGGCTTGAGGCCTTTTTAGGCCTAATGGGCGAAACCAAAAGCTTGAGGCCTTTTTAGGCCTAATGGCCTAAACCAGAAGCTTGAGGCCTTTTTAGGCCTAATGGGCTAAACCTGCAGAAGGGCCCGTACTGCTGTTGCGTGCTTGAACCCGCTCATTGCCGCTTGCGGCTATATTTATTATTATTATTAGGGTTCAAGCACGAAGTGCATAGAACCCTATTGGAATTGTGCGGATTTTTAGGGTCAAGCATGCAATGCATTGAACCCTATTGGAATTGTGCGGATTTTTCTTATTATTAGGGTTCAAGCATGCAGTGCATTGAACCCTATTGAAATTGTCAAGATTTTTCTAATTATTTTTCCGCCCTGAAACGGAACGCACAGCCCAAACCATAAGTCCTAGAGACACCAAACTTGGTCAATAGGTAGTAGTCCCTCCCGCTACTCAGGCGCAAGGAATCAGCCCAATCGGCCACAAGGGGGCGCTACAGCGCAGGTCAACGCGTTTAGGTCTATATCTCTTAAACCAGATTTTTGGCAGACAAGCCATATTTTTTTCCTAGTTCTTGAGTCCAAATAAACCTTTTGGCTATTTGATTCATCTAGCTCCGCCCACGTAGATTTTTCGCAATATTGCAAAATATGCGAAACGTACTTTTGCGAACTAGTTCTACAATTTTTGCCCGATCCTCATCTCTTTGTTGTCAAAAAATTCAGAAGAGCCTGAAGGTCAATAATTATCAAAAACATTTTGACTTTTCTAAACAACATGGCTGCCATATGCAAATGAACCCTTCTGGATAAATTCAAAATCATTCTGAATTAATTGAAAAATCTGTAACTCAAGAATCCTTCAGCCAAAAAATTTCAAACTTCGCAGGCCATATCAGAAGCTCATTCTGAGGTAGCCATTCGATTTTGGTGTGCATATCTAATTAGGGGGCGGAGCAACAAAAACAGGGCATTTTCTCTGCATATGAACACCTGTTCAAGCTGAAACTTGGCATGCAGCATCATTGGGCCAGACTACAAGTGTCTCTATAAGGAAAATTGGATACATTGAAATTTGTGGTCGCCATCGGCCAATAAGCATTCAGCAGGCCTTTTGACAGGCTTAACATTGACCAATCATGACGAAACTTGACTGGTGTCTATATGTAGCCACTTTCTAACAATCAATCGAGTTTCAAAAGATTTGACCACTGGGTGGCGCTATTTCAGAAATTTACATATTATTACATGTTATTACTATATTATTACAATTTTCACCAAAAGCCTATTGTATTACAATGGGACAAACAATTTTGCAAATACATATTCATTACAAAACTGCATAGTTTTTTTGTAATCGATAAATGTTTGAAAACCATACTTTTTGAACTAGTCTCTGGATTTTGATCCTATCTTTTCAAAGTTGGTCTAGAACAATTCTTTGGCATCTGTAGGTAAATAATTATCAAAAACATGTTGACTTTTCTACTCAGGGTCATGTGGATAAATTAATTAATTCCTGTATACATGGCATTCTTAGCTTGATTAGCTATAACTCAACAGTCATTGGTCAGATCACGTCCATTCTTTGAGTATTTATACAAATTGAGATTCTAATGGAGTATTCCAAGTTTGGTCCAGATTGGCCTTTGGAGGCGCTTTAGCACTCAAAAACACTGAAAAATCAATAAAAATGCTATTACAATGTTATTACAAGGCCCACATATAAATACATGGTGCCATGTGACTAAGTCCATTAAGCTGAACAACTTTCTAATTACATGTTATGTCAAAAATTGCACTGCTTGTCTTTTATTTTGGCTTATTCATTCAAAGATTTCACTATACAAAGACTTACTATACAAGGCTTGAGGCCTTTTTAGGCCTAATATAATAAAAGGCTTGAGGCCTTTTTAGGCCTAATGGGCTAAACCAAAAGCTTGAGGCCTTTTTAGGCCTAATGGGCTAAACCTGCAGGAGGGCCCATACTGCTGTTGCATGCTTGAACCCGCTCATTGCCGCTTGCAGCTATATTTATTATTATTATTGTGAAATAATGGTCCATCCCAATCTAATATGAACCTTAGTAATCTCAGTGAATCACAATACCAGTAACATTTACTTGAATAAATGTCAGTAAAATAATTCCCAACAGTGTTTATATTGGGAAGGTTACTTTTGAAAAGTAATAGGTTACAGATTACTAGTTACCCTGTTACCCATCTTTGGAAGAGTTTCCCTAAGACAGAGCCTTAGAGCTCTTTTTAAAAAAATAAATAAATAACTAAACAAAAAAACTTAAAATGAAGTGTACGCCAGGCTGCAATGTTTGCCACTGAGGCAAATATACACTGAAAAAAATCAACTTGGCCCTTAGTAAATTTTACATAATAAAATTGTGCATGTTTTTCTCAATTTAATTTTTTTTTTGCTTCGACTAAATAATAATAAGCAATGTTGAAAACCAGTAAACTAAACATATGAAACACGCTTAAAGTGAATTAGAAATAATTATGTCGTGTCAAGGGGTAGAAACTGCGCGTGCACAATTTTTCCCCGAGCTGACGGCAGCCATTTTCTACACCTCGTCTCTGGGAAGATTTGGCTTACCTGAGGAAATTCTGTCATCTTACATTTACAAAGTAGGATATTGTATATTCTCTATTGTTTGTCATTATAACATGTTCATGACATTTACGCAGAAACGTAAGCTTAAGGGAGGACTTAGCATGGCTTAAAATTCGCTAGCTTAGCTAACTTAGCTAGCTAGCCAGGTTAGTTTAAACCGACGCATATTCAAAGTACACATAACGTTACTCAGTCAAAGAATCTCTAAACTTACTAAAGCTGATTGCAGTGTTTTAATTGTAAAGGTCAGTGTTTTAATATAATGTGTCCTTCATAAGTATCTGTCTATGTTGAGGTCACTTGAGGTCCTCACTAAGTTTGCTCACAAACACAACCGTTAGCTAACGTTACTGTTGACCTAGCCTAGCTAGCTAAGTAACGGCGCCATTTTCTGAAGTTCACTGCAGACGAGTGCGTTTAGCTGCTGTGTCATCATACAAGTACACGGTAAAATATTGTTTTGATGGTTGTAGACGCACACAACGCAGCGTTGGATATATCTTTGATGAAACGTACAGTTAAGGGATGACTAGCATAGCATAAGTTTGTGAGGGGCACAGTTCAACACATATTCTAAGTAAACAGACCTAGCTAGTGTTAGCTAGTTGTGTGTCCTTGACATGGCCTGTAATAATTTTTTCCCACGGAGGAGGCTGTGCTCGCTTCGCCTGTGATTTTGGATGTGATATTTGGGTACTAGGTGTCCACAAACCTGTGTAATTTCAACCTTAGTTAGCTAGCTAGTTAGCTCCACTAAGCCTGGGGTTTAGATATGGAGCCTGCAAACTCTATTGTAGCTAGCGTTAACTTAGCAAACATATCGTTGGCAGCTAGTAGGTTACAGACATCAGTTAACTGGTTTAATTTCAACGTTTGTCCATTTAACACTTAATGCTCTGTTCGATGAACCTTTTGCAATGTGGTGTTCCAACATGGACTCTGATACCGTTAGCGCAGCTAGCTAGCGTTAGTTAGCTAAGCAAACGTTAGTGTTAGCAGCTAGCTGGCTAACTTAGCTAGTAGGCGACAAGCACCACGAAGCAAGTTTTAAGTTTCATTTCAGCTTTCTGTTCCTTCAACACCAATCGCTCGACTTTGCTGTATCAGAATTGTCAGTGGAGATTTAGTTCGACATAATAGAATCTGTTATCTTGTTAATTAGTAAGCTAATGCTAACTGTTCACCTCAGTAGTGGAAAAGAGGTTTATGTTTGCCCATATAACAGCAGAGTGTCATTGCTCATTATTATAATCAGAACATTATTTTGTATATAAGATGGTGCACACACACTCACAAATGAGTGCCAAGTACCAAGTGGTAGAAGTAATTATTATACATTGATTTTGATGCTCAATAATGCACAGACCCTAGACAGGGAATTCTGATAGCCATATTGATTAAAAGAACCTTGATGTGACTTAAATATCATAGTTGGTTTCAAACTAAAATAATGTTCACAGGATTAAAACAAATAGCTAAATATGAGTAAAATAATATATATTATTGTAAGACTATTAAATTTCAGCCAAAATAATGCACTGTTATGTCCTTCCACATGGTGAGATAAAACATTAAGGTAAAGCGATAAAACATTAAAGTAAAGCTTATGTTTAAGATAACATGGTCTTTCATTTAATTTTATTTAAATGTCCTCTTTGTTTATAGGTTAACGCTTAACAAGGTTGTTGAGTGCCATGTTTTAAAGGATTCTCTGGCATGTTCTAAGTCTCTGGTAAGTGCATTTTTATGATCCAGATTTGATATTTAACTATGAGGCTAATTGTTTTGTAAAGCTACTTTTTATTTATTTGTTTTATTGTTTAAATTAGTAATAATTTTTCAGTCTCTAAGATGATGGGGATTTTGATGTTCATATGTTTCTTTTATCTGTTCCTTGTATTCTTGTCAAGTTAATGTACCATTTTTTTTTAACAGTTGAAGATATATTCTAAGTGCAATCAATATTTGCAGGCGAAGAATGTCCACCTTAAAAGAGAAGCCATCATAAAAGCTCTTTGTCCGCACCTGAATAATGATGATGGATTTCTTATCAAGGAGTACAGGGTAAGTCAGTATGTGACCTAAGCACATCACCATCATTCTAATTCAATTCTAATTTCTAACTAAGGTAAATTCATCTTATTTCATATTTGTGCTCTTTTAAATACTGTGTGTGTCTTCCAGGCACCTCAGTTCTTATATCAATTGCTTATAACATTTGCTTAATAAAATCAGCCCCCTCCCATCTGTGTAGTAAATCCAAATCGAAAAGAGGCGTTGATGTGTTAGTATGTTAGGACCAACCATAGATTGTAGGTGCTAATGTGAGAAGGGTGAACTAGAACTATCCATTTTGTAATGTGTATTTTACCATTGAATGGAGTTTTGTGGAGGTGGGGGCTGATTTTATTTATATTCATCATAAAATAAGTATTTGATATTAAAAAAAATGTCTGAGGTACCTAGAAGTATTTAGAAGAGCTCAAATGAGAAATAAACTGAACTTACTCTTTATGGAGCAAGAGTACAATGGAGTTTAGTATTAATAACAAGATTTAATTTGTAGGACATTCATGGTGAAGACATATTGAGAGACCAGCACAGCACTGAAATGGGCATTTATGTCATCAGAAGAGGGTGGAACTCTTGGAGAATATGAAGACGTTGACGCTGATGGAAATGTTATTGTAGGAAACATCAAATCAGTTGCACCAGACTGCAGTAATGCTTGGAGTAATCTATGCACTGAATATGGCTCACCACAATGGGCAGAAATACTGCTTTAAATTTGTACATTCCTCATGCCAAAGGATGGTGCAAAGCTCTCCCCTAATATTCTTGGTTAAAATCTTGGGATAGTCAAAATAGGCTGTCCATTCTGGAAATATATAGAACTTTTCACACTAGCTTCTGCTTTGATTGAAAAGCAATGGGCTTTTGAACAACGCTTAAGTCACATGAAACAAGTATGGCTGTATTTGTCAACATCTCTTTTAAAATTCAATGACATTTCAATGATTTTCTATACAACATGTCAAGATCCTGCTCATGTTTAAGAACAATTTGTCTTAAAACAGCATGCAGTTAAATTTTAGAGTCTTTTTTTGCTAAAGCTGTACGAAGTAGTCTTTTGAACAGTTTGAGCTCTATAAATTTTCACCCTAAATTTGCAAAGTCTAACGACCAAAATAAGGTTGTGCTAACTAGAGGCAGTGCTTTGACAAGAAGGCCGTACTCTGTAGGCACCATTTCTGGGGCATTATTTTGATCATTATACAATATCCAATTGTCATCAAAGTCATATAACATTTAAAACTGTGTTATTGTGCTGTTCTATTTTAAATATCTGCTGTTGTAAAGTTGCACTTAAGGTTGGTGTTATCATTATGTAATTACTGAATGTTACTTCATTGTTTCACAAATTCTGGGCCATTACTTAAGACTTAATTAATTGTGATTAATTTAGGTGAATGTGTTTGTAATTGCAGTATTCTATTTGAAGCTTATTGTTCTATGTAAAGTTGCATTTTAGCTTGTGTTGCCTGCAAGACAAGCAATAATGTATTGACAATTAAGTAAATTCAGAGAGTCATTTTTTGAGTGTAGTGCCACAATCTACAAGTAGGCTAAAAAACAAAAGTACCGTGTAATATTTTGTTTATATATATTTAATGTAATATAATGTGTTTAAATGGAACATGAAATAGTTGCAGCATTTGTTCATACCACTGTGCATGTAAAACATGTACATCCATTATTGTACCTCCATTACTGGATTGCCTTGTGCACAAATTATTAGTATTACTGTTATTTTCTATTTTTACTCCTATTATTAATATTATAGATGATACTGACAGTTTTGGTTAAAATCAAGCATTTTTTCAGACGGTTAAATATTTATGCTTCAACTTATAGGCACTCTTACCAGACATGAGTTTGATCATACAGATAAACTAAAGACTACTACTAGTAAATAACAAACTATCGGTGAAATTTGCATGTGCCCATCAGATTTGGCATTACGCAACTTTGATGAATAACTATATGTTTTAAAAGTTTAAACTGTGGTCTGTATGTAGGTGCATTTAGACCTTTTAATAAAATACATTATGGTATTTTTAAAATAAAGAATACACTGGGCCAGTCTCATTTCTACACATATTTAGGAAGCCTTATTATTTTCAAGTTTCCTGTTTTATAAAGAAATCATTTTACTTTTAAGAGTAAATATCATTTTACTTTTAAAAGTAAATATCATTTTGGCCCCATCTGCTACTGGCCCTGACAGCAAGGAAGTGTCTGTTATGTCTAGCTGTACTATAATTCCTCACCTTACTTGAGTTGTTGCACGTCCTAAAGTTCTATAGTAACAGGAACTAAGTTGAGACAATTTGTACTCTTTAATGTTGCCTTGTGATTTTTGTTTTTGCCACTGTATTTTTAAAATTAACATCAACCTGAACAGGGACTGCAGATGTAAATTAGCCATTTGGTTAAATCTGGCACATAATGATGTTGATTATTGTGTACTGTTCATGTTAAATAAACAAACAAAGAAATAAATGAAGTAACAAAGGAATTGTTGTAATGTAAGCCCACGATTATGACCATTAAATCACTTTATATGGTTTTAGACAGGTCAGTGTAAAAATCTGTACCCATTTGCCCATTTGTCAGTGCAATAAAATCTAAACAGTTTGTAAAATATTTGTGCAAGTTCAAGTACAAGTACAAAATATAGCCGCAAGCAGCAATGAGCGGGTTCAAGCATGCAACAGCACAATGGGCCCTCCTGCAGGTTTAGCCCATTAGGCCTAAAAAGGCCTCAAGCTTTTCATTTAGCCCATTAGACCTAAAAAGGCCTCAAGCTATGGGTCTTATTCATAGGCAGAGTGAATAGAACTGAAAGGAAGTCAGTTCATCAAAAGGCCTTCAGTTGCCATAAACAAGAAGCAGTGGTGTTTTAAACACATTATAGGTTTGCATTCATGTGTACTGATCTACACTGCTTTGTAGAACATCCAAGAAGGTGCACTTGCACAGTGGATTGGTTCTATATTTAAGCCATTGCTTTGATGTAGGCCATAATGAGGCCCAATGCACTCATAAGGGGCCCTGCTGGTGTGAGGAGCTCAGTGAAAGTGGGTCAGAATTAGTGAAAAGGCCACAGTATGGTATCATTCTTGATCAAGGACCAAATCCAAAGATGTTCACTAAGTTTTGGTCAGAATGACCTTTTGACCTTTGTATAATAAGCCTTTGTATAGTGAAATCTTTGAATGAATAAGCCAAAATAAAAGACAAGCAGTGCAATTTTTGACATAACATATAATTAGAAAGTTGTTCATGTGAGTGAACTGAGTCACATGGCACCAATTGTTTATATGTCGACCTTGTAATAACATTGTAATAGCATTTCAATTGATTTTTAAGTGTTTTTGAGTGCTAAAGCGCCCCCTAAAGGCCAATCTAGACGAAAATTGGCAGACACCATTGAAGTCTAAACATGTAAATATCCTTAAAGATTGGAGATGATCTGACCAATGACTGTTGAGTTATAGCAAATCAAGCTAGCAATGCCATGTTTGCAGTAATTAATTGGTTGATCCTCAATACACTGAGCGGAACAGTCAAAATGTTTTTGATAATTATTGAGGATCAGTACCTTGATGAAAATTGGCAAAAAATCTAGAGACTAGTTCACAAGAATAGGTTTTTCACATTATGCAAATTAGCTCAAAAACTAAGGGGGTGGGGCTAAAAGTGTCTGGGGTACACTTATTCAGCATGTCCCAAGGAATCAGCAGAAAAAAGATTTTGTCTCTATCTCACTCTGATCAAAAGTTATAGGCAAAAATATGAGTAAAGTTGAAAAAGATGAAAAGTTAACGAAAGTTAAAGAAACATAGGACTAAAGTAAAGTATGAGCTCAGTGAAAGTGGGTCAGAATTAGTGAAAAGGCCACAATATGGTATGATTCTTGATCAGGGACCATATCCAAAAATGTTTACCAAGTTTTGGTCAGATTGACCTTTGACCTTTGTATAATAAGCCTTCGTATAATGTAGTCTTCGAATGAATAAGCCAAAATACCAGACAAACAGTACAATTTGTGACAGAACATGTACTTAGAAAGCTGTTCATGTGAGTGACCTGAGTCGTATGGCACCATTTGTTTATCTGTCGACCTTGTAATAACATTGTAATAGCATTTCAATTGATTTTTAAGTGTTTTTGAGTGCTAAAGCGCCCCCTAAAGGCCAATCTGGACCAAAATGGGCATACACCATTAAAGTCCAAATATGTAAAAGTCCTTAAAGTTTGGACATGATCTAACCAATGATTGTTGAGTTATAGCTAATCAAGCAAACAATGCCATGGTCGCAGTAATTAATTGATTGATCCACATGAACCTGAGTAGAAAAGTCAAAATGTTTTTGATAATTATTTACCTACACATGCAAAAGAATTTTTACAGACCAAGTTCGAAAAGATTGGATCAAAATCCAGGGACTAGTTCGAAAAGTAGTCTTTTTAAACAGTTACCGATTACAAAAAAACTATGCAGTTTTGTAATAAATATGCATTTGCAAAATTGTTTGGAATAACGTACTACATATAATACACAAGGATGCTCAAGCAAACTTGTAATGAAATAGTAATAAAATGTAATAATATGTTAATTTTTATGAATAGTGCCCCGCAGTGGTCAATTTTTTTCAAACTTGATTGTTTGTTAGAAAGTGGCTATATGTAGAGATCATTCAAGTTTCATGATGATTGGTCAATGTTAAGCCTGTCAAAAGCCTGCTAAATACTGATTGGCTGATGGCAAACATATACTTCAATTAATCAAATTGTCCTTATGGATTCACTTATAGTCTGGCCAACAGATGGTATCTGCAAAGTTTCAGCTTGATCAGATATCAGATTAGGAAGTCATATTCTCTCATGTTCCTGGTTTTATAGAGCAAATAATTTTGCTGTTAAGTGTGAATATCATTTTGATCTAGTTTGCTACACGTCCTCACATTAAGATACTGTCACTTATGTCTGATCACACTATAATTTTTCACCTTAGTTGACTTGTTGCACATCCTATGTTCCCTACAATACAATTTGTAATACAAATCTTATTAATTATACAACACAACAAACGTAACATTTTACATGACAAACATAACAGTTCATGTATACTACTTTATTACTATAATTTACGATATTTTATGATGCCATAGCCTTTAACGTCTATATACAACCAAATACAGACCACAAAGTAAACATTTAAAACATGTTGGGCCACTAAAAACTCACCTTAACATGAAAGAATAAATCTTCTTAATATAACATAACTTGATTTCAGACTGGCCAAACTAATCTTCACCTTTAAAATTACTAATATATATTGTATAAAAAGGCCATATTCTCTCTATGCACCTATGTACAGACCGAGAAGTAAAGTGTGAAAACATGTTGGTCAACTAAAAACTCGCCTTAACATGAAAAACAAATGGATCTTCCTGAAATAATATCATTTGTTTTCAGATTGATTGAGTGATCATCTTTAAAATGACCAAAATATATTGCATAAAAATCCCAGAAACTACCAAAATAAAGGATTAACCTTGTTGAACCACTAAAGCTCAACTTAATGTAAACAATCATCCTAAAATAATATAACTAGGCTCTAGACGGACCTTTACAATTATCTTGATTATATTGTATAAAAATGCTTTATTTTCTCTTTCACCCTGCAGACTACAAAAAAGAATAAAAAATGTTGCAAATACTTTTGAAAGACTTATTGTTTCATGTTGAGTTTTCAGTGGATTAACATGATTCAGACATTACGTTTTTGTTATAATTTATGAATGATTATAACCATTAAATGAATTAAAATATTTTTAGAGATAGCGGTGTAAAATTAAACATGTTTGCCCATTCGTAAAAACAATAACGAAACACTTCAGAATATTTTGGTGTAAATAGTTTTTGAGAAACCAATTATCGTTTTACCGATTGAAAACAAAAATCTGTTTCATCCTCAGGCTGCGAAGCTGTGAATAAGAAACCAACTTCAACCTCGTCACGTAATCAAACTTTAAAACAATATGAAGTTCATACTGCTTGCTAGACTAAGGACAAATATCTGCCTCCCAGGCCAAAAAATGTTTACAATATCTTAAATGCACAGACTCACGAAGTTTCTTCCACATGTCATGGTGGCAGGCGATAAACCTGTTCCGAATTGCGTCACAAACTTTTCGACAATTTTTCGACCAAAAACATTTCTGTTTTTTAAGGAAATTCCACAAATGATCTCGGGCAAAGTGCGCTGCTTTCCTCCCACCGTGTCCATCGAACACAGCGAAAAATGCAACGGACTTTGCGGTTCTGGGTCTAAAATTGCATCTGCCCCGTTTGACGCGGTTTCCCGAACATCCCGTCTCGCGTCAGTTGACAGATTTTCGGTCCATGTTACTGCGGCAGGCTCATATCTGGACATGCATTCAGATTCGTCGAGCAGGGTCAACGCAACACCAAGATCAGTTTTGCAGTCCGCGTTTGGATCCCCGTGTCCAACAATGTTGATCTTTTCATTATTCGGTTCGTTTTCCATT